CACTCCACTCACTCCACTCACTCCACTCACTCCACTCACTCCACTCACTCCACTCAACTCCACTCCACTCCACTCCACTCCACTCCACTCCACTCCACTCCACTCCACTCCACTCCACTCCACCCACTCCACGCACTCACGCGCTCGCCCACTCACGCACTCACGCGCTCACGATCTCACCCACTCACCCACTCACCCACTCACCCACTCACCCACTCACCCACTCACCCACTCACCCACTCGCCCACTCGCTCACTCGCCCACTCGCTCACTCGCCCACTCGCTCACTCGCTCACTCGCTCACTCGCTCGCTCACTCGCTCACTCACTCACTCACTCACCCACTCACTCACCCACTCACTCACTCACTCACTCACTCACTCACTCACTCACTCACTCTCACATCCCTCACTCACACAGACCACACTCACATCACTCTCACATCCCTCACTCACACAGACCACACTCACATCACTCACACACACCACACTCACATCACTCACTCACACTCTCACTCACTCACCTGTACATGCACATACATACACACACACCCTCCCCACCATCACCCCTCCATCACCTTTCATCACTCACCCACCATCACCCCTCCATCACTCTTATCCTTCCTCTTCCCTTCTTCCTTTTCTATGCTCAGTCTAAGTCTAGAGAAGTTGGTAACATGTGGGGTTATCCGGTCCTATAATTTTTTGGCTTTCATATGGGACATATTTATATACTCTTTTAGCGGGATTGGGATTCGATAATTTATGATGTTTCCGGCAACTGCACATCCCAAGTCTCAACCCCATGGAAGACTCAAGCGGACCCGTGCTGTCTCAAAAGGCTTCTCAGGTTGTTTAAGTGTTGGCCATGATTTGCCAAAGAGACTGTAAGGATGTCAACAAACTCCTTGATCAAAATGGCACCTTGTGCGGTTTGATGATCCACCTGCCATGGCATTCGACCAGTTGCTGTGACCCAATTCTTGGCCGGCAACTTTCTGACGCACGTGGAGCTACTATTCCCAGCAGTCCACGCTTGGTTCGCACTGAATCAGTTCAGAGCTTTGGCTCCATCCTTTGGGGGCTGGCAATCCTCCATGAAATATCATGAAATTCCCATGATGTTTCCTGCTCCAAGGAGGTTTTCAGTCATTCTGAGAATCGACCACGTACTCTATTACTTTTCTGTCTGGTGCGCTTCAACATACGTGGAAGAATCTGTTCTTGAATTCTTGGTAGCAAGCAAAGTTATTGCTTATTTGAAGGCCTGTGAAGAAAGCAATGAAGAATGCGTTGATATCAATTTGGCGAAAGACGCTGCGTCTTTTCCCGGTTCTTAAACCTATCATCACATGTTGAATTTGTAAAACATTATATATAGGTGAAGGCGGGTCGAAAATGTTGAAATGGCAGCAACCCACCCAGTGAGGCATTGCACGTTCCTATGTCACCCGGGTAGCGCTGCTTTCTATGAAGGTGCGAGGGAAGCTGGGGAGATACGAGAAGGGAAATTGAATCCAGGGTATAAAAGCTTTGATAAATAAAGGGCCGGATAACCACAAGTCAACTTCTTCCAATAATGAGCAACAAATGTTGTAGCGGGGACGGGGAAGGAAGGAAAGACAAAGGAGGTGGTAGAGGATCGACAAGTAAACAAAATTGTGTGTGACAAAGTTGTATGTGAAAGATGGTGTGTGGCAAAGAAACACGGTGTGTGTGTGACAAAGTTGTGTGTGAAGAGTTGTGTGTGACAAAGTTGCACGTGAAAGATGGTGTATTGCAAAGAAAGGGCCCTTTTGCACGAAGCAAACGAAAGACATCACTGTGCGATGCAATCGGCTCTACAGCAATCTTCACACGCAAGTGTCGCACGCGAATGTCACAAGCATTGCCAAGTCCCCAATGTCGCCCAAAATCTTAACATGACAAAGTTGTGTGTGAAAGATGGTGTGTGACAAAGTGGTGTGTGAAAGATGGTGTGTGAAAGATGGTGTGTGACAAAGTGTGTGACAAAGATGGTGTGTGAAAGATGGTGTGTGACAAAGTGGTGTGTGAAAGATGGTGTGGTGGAAGATGGTGTGTGACAAAGATGGTGTGTGAAAGATGGTGTGTGACAAAGTGGTGTGTGAATGAATGGTGTGGTGGAAGATGGTGTGTGACAATGTTGTGTGTGAAAGATGGTGTGTGGCAAAGTGGTGTGTGAAAGATGGTGTCTGACATAGATGGTGTGTGGCAAAGTGTGTGACAAAGATGGTGTGCGGCAAAGTGGTTTGTGACAAAGTGGTGTGCGACAAAGTGGTGTGTGAAAGGTGGTGTGTGACAAAGTGGTGTGTGAAAGATGGTGTGTGACATAGATGGTGTGTGACAATGTGTGGGACAAAGATGGTGTGTGACAAAATGGCGCGGCGCCCCGGGCGACCAAGGGCGACCAAGCGCGCCACCAAGTGCAAGAAGTGCCACGCTAGCCACGCCAAACGCAGGAAAATGTCTCCAAGTGCTATAGCCCCTGCCACGTGAAACGAAGATGGATGTCACCAAGTGCCACGCCTGCCACGTGAAAGGCGGATGTCTCCAAGCCACCAAGTGCAACGAGTGCCACGCCAAACGCAGGTAAATGTCTCCACGTACCACGCCTGCCACGCGAAACGAAGGTGGATGTCTCAAGTGCACGCTTGCCACGCAAAACGAAGGTGGATGTCACCAAGTGCCAAACCTGCCACGCAAAGTGGCGCGGCGCCCCGGGCGACCAACGGCGACTAAGCGCGCCACCAAGTGCTACGCTTGCTGCGCCAAACGCAGGTAGATGTTACCAAGTGCCACTCCTGCCACGTGAAACGAAGGTGGATGCCACCAAGTGCCATGCCTGCCACGTGAAACGAAGGTGGATGTCTCCAAGTGCCACGCCTGCCACATGAAACGAAGGTGCATGCATGTGACCAAGTGTCACGCCTGCCACGCAAAGTGGCGCGGCGCTCTGGGCGATCAACGGCGACCAAGCGCGCCACCAAGTGCAAAAAGTGCCAGGCCTAACACGCCAAACGCAGGTAAATGTCACGCCAAATGCAAGTAAATGTCTCCAAGTGCCACGCCTGCCACGTGAAACGAAGGTGGATGTCACGCCTGCCACGCAAAACGAAGGTGGATGTCGCCAAGTGCCACACACCTGCCACGTGAAACGAAAGTGGCTGTCGCCAAGTGCCACTTCTGCCACGCAAAGTACCTCTGCATCACCAGCGCGGCGCCCCTGGCGACCAACGGCGACCAAGCGCGCCACCAAGTGCCACGCCTACCACGCCAAACGCAGGTAAATGTCACCAAGTGCCACACCTGCCACGCAAAACGAAGGTAGATGTCACCAAGTGCCACGCCTGCCGCGCGAAGCGAAGGTGGATGTCGCCAAGTGTCACGCTTCTCACGTCAAACGAAGGTGGGTGTCGCCAAGTGCCATGCACGCCTGCCACACAAAGTACCGCAGCTTCACCGGCGACCAAAGCGCCCAAGCGCGCCACCAGAGCCAGCCCAGTGTCATAACGTTCTGCCACGCATGCCGCACAAAACGAAGGTAGATGTCACCAAGTGCCACACCTGCCACGGAAAACGAAGCTAGATGTCACCAAGCCGGCGACTAATCGCGCCCCAAGCGCCACGCCTGCCACGCAAAGCGACGGTAGATGTCGCCACGCAAAACGAAGGTAGATGTCGCCAAGTGCCACGCATGCCACGCAAAACGAAGGTGGATGTCATCAAGTGCCACGCCTGCCACCCAAAACAAAGTCGTGTGTGAAAGATGGTGTGTGACAAAGTTGTGTGTGAAAGATGGTGTGTGACAAAGTGGTGTGTGAAAGATGATGTGTGACAAAGTTGTGTGGGACAAAGTGGTGTGTGTGAGTGAGCAGACAGGCGGCGGAGGAGGAGGAGGCGGCGGAGGAGCGGGGTGGTACAGAATCAAAAACAAGAACCCCACACAAAGATGTGGGGAAAACTGTGAACAAATGGTGGGCTGGACAAAATCCGCATTTGCAGGTGATCTACTTATTGAGATATTATTTGCTATTGATATTTTTCGGATTTTCGCCTTTCCACAGAATGTCATCCGCATTTTGTCTCGGTTGGTCGCTGGATGGCTCGGCAACTCGTGTCCAGGTCTTTAGTGGCTGTGCCATGGACGCTGTGTTGTTTTCATCTACCGCAGAGCCGGTCTTCAATGACGAGAAACCAGAATGCAGTCCGGCATTGGAATCTTGGCACCAAAACGTGGATCTTGATGAGATTCTATATAGGATGATCATGGATGATCTCAGGCATTCTGCTTGGCATGTGGTAAGATGTTTGGTGCGCAAAAACAACCCTTTCGCACGAAATGAGGTTCGATCGCCAAAAACTGAGGTAAAATTGCGATTCATGTTGTCCAATCGCAACCCTTTCGCACGAAATGAGCACCAAAAACTGGGGTAAAATTGCGATTCATGTTGTCCAATCGCAACCCTTTCGCACGAAATGAGGTTCGATCGCCAAAAACTGGGGTAAAATTGCGATTCATGTTGTCCAATCGCAACCCTTTCGCACGAAATGAGGTTCGATCGCCAAAAACTGAGGTAAAATTGCGATTACCAAGTTGTCCGGCGAAGTGTGTAAAAGCGTCTCTGTGTAAAAGCGTCTGTGTGTAAAAGCGTCTGTGTGTAAAAGCGTCTGTGTGTAAAAGCGTCTGTGTGTAAAAGCGTCTGTGTGTAAAAGTCTGTGTGTAAAAGCGTCTGTGTGTAAAAGGGTCTGTGTGTAAAAGCGTCTGTGTGTAAAAGTGTCTGTGTGTAAAAGCGTCTGTGTGTAAAAGCGTCTGTGTGTAAAAGGGTCTGTGTGTAAAAGCGTCTGTGTGTAAAAGCGTCTGTGTAAAAGCGTCTGTGTAAAAGCGTCTGTGTGTAAAGCGTCTGTGTGTAAAAGTGTTTGTGTGTAAAAGCTTCTGCGTGTAAAAGCGTCTGTGTGTAAAAGCGTCTGTGTGTAAAAGCGTCTGTGTGTAAAAGCGTCTGTGTGTAAAAGCGTCTGTGTGTAAAAGCGTCTGTGTGTAAAAGCTTCTGTGTGTAAAAGCGTCTGTGTGTAAAAGCGTCTGTGTGTAAAAGCGTCTGTGTGTAAAAGCGTCTGTGTGTAAAAGGCGTCTGTGTGTAAAAGCGTCTGTGTGTAAAAGCGTCTGTGTGTAAAAGCATCTGTGTGTAAAAGCTTCTGTGTGTAAAAGCGTCTGTGTGTAAAAGCGTCTGTGTGTAAAAGCGTCTGTGTGTAAAAGCGTCTGTGTGTAAAAGCGTCTGTGTGTAAAAGCCTCTGTGTGTAAACGCGTCTGTGTGTAAAAGCCTCCGTGTAAAAGCCTCTGTGTGGAAAAGTCTCTGTGTGCAAAAGCGTCTGTCTGTAAAAAGTTCTGTGCGTGAAAAACTTTACGAAAGATACGATGCAAACTATTGTCTTGTACTAGCCATATATTGTCTTGATACTCTTCTCGTCTGCCTATAATACATCTTTAATATATTGTCTTGTAATATAGTGTCTCCATACTAACAACAGAAGACTCTGCTCCTCTACGCTCTCGGGCCATCCGTCGTCTAGTCTGCGGGGCCGAGTGGGAAACTTTTCTGGTATGTGAAAAAAAATTGAATGGTGTAGCAATGTAGGGCCATTGGGAAGGTCTCAGGGGTCCACACGTGCTTATTTTTTTCCGCATACCAGACAATTATCGCACTCCAGGGTGTCATCGTACTCCAAGGTTTGACAGTCTGCCTTTTGGGAAACAATGACTGTGTGCTCGCAAATGGGTTTTTGGTTCAAAATGAACTAATTTTGGAATTTCCTAAAAACAAGATGCAGCCCACGAACCCGAATGCTCACACGTATGTTAATGGCACAGATGCCGAAACACATGGATATGCAGTCACCCAGAACACTTTTCTGCAATAGTTTATTTGAACAGTCTTGTACACATTTCCGCTGTTACCAGTCTGCAGTGTGGAGTGGAAAGTGTAGAGTGTGAAGTGTGGAGTGGAAAGTATAGAGTGTGAAGTGTGGAGTGGAAAGTATAGAGTGTGGAGTGTGAACAACTTTGATCAGGAAGTACCAGAAGGATCGAACATGGACAGTTGTGGAGTTGTCCAGAAAGTTCAAGGACATGCGTCAACCTTTTGGGATGATTGATCAATTCTTGATTACAGTTGGTTCTGAAGATGAGTGTGAATCTTTGACATTGCTTGGTGTACAACCTCAAACGTTGTTGGAACTTGGGCTTGTCATGACAGATGATGGTGGAGATGTTCTACGTGATCAAGAGGAGTTGCAGGGGACAAGTTTGCGACGAGAACTTCCTGCAAGCAAGCCCAGTACAAGTTTGCGACGCGAACTTCCCGCAAGCAAACCCGCGCGATTTCCAAAATAAAATTGTGTTTCCTCCAGAAGGGTATGAGCAACAGCGCGAGGTTCCTGAAATGGAAGCAGGTGATGAAATCCAAGCAGCGCCAGATGTCGAGCTGCACATGGAAGATGAATCACTTGTGATACATTATGACTTGGCAATTACAGTTACATCTTCAGTCAAGCTTTTGCGTGATGCCTGCAGATGGCTGGGAGTTTCTCAGTCTGGTTCAAAGAAGAGAATGTTTGACAGATGCAAGAAAGCCAAGGAAACAGCTCTGAGACGAAGCTTGGTGGAGTCAGCGCATGAGCAGTACAAGTCATTGCAGAAAGAGGCTGAACCAATTCCAGTACCAGTACAGCCTACCGACAGGGACAGATCCCTGCATGAGCTAACTCATGTGCCATTTCAACCTTGGTGCAAGTATTGTGTGATGAGCAGATCAGGTGCCAATCAACATTCTCATTTCTCAGATCCTGCAGGTGAAGCCCAAAGAGAACATCCAACTATTCAGTGCGATTTCTTTTTCATGGAGCCTGGGAAAGAAGGTGCAGTGGTAGCGCTTCTCATAGTTGATGTTTGGTCGAGGTATGTGGCCGTTGCTCCTCTCAAGCGACGCAATGCACAGACAGCTGGCCGAGCTTTGGTGGACTTCATTTCAAGCATCAGGGATGGAACAATGGAGTTGGCATTTGACAATGAACCTGTTTTGGTTGCAGGTGCCATTTTTTGCAAATCAGTGCGAGCTAAGAATGAGCTCACGCCACATCTCTGTCCAAACAAGGGTGGTGACAAAGCTCGAACAAGCATAGCCGAGAGGTTTGTTCAATCTGTCAGAGAGATTCAGAAAACTTTACTGTGTCACATTGAAGATGAACTGAAGGTTGCAATTCCAGATGGCCATCCAGTGATTCAATGGGCTGCAATGCATGCAGCATGGCTTTAGAACCGGTATCAAGTTCATGCGACAATGAAGGTGACACAATTTCAATCTCTACGAGGCCGACCTTACCATCGAAAATTAGCATCCTTTGGCCAGACTGTCTTTGGTCTTGATCCCAAAGCAACGAAGTTCAAATCAGCATGGAAGAAAGGTACGTTGTTGGCTGGGGAAAGATACATCAGGAATGGACCTCATTTGCACAGATGGCCAAACCATCATTCGAACAAAAGCGGTCAGGAAGATCAACAATCAATGGGATGCTGAACTCATCATTGGTATGCCAGATGATGGACCAATGGACTTCTTTGGACATCGTCAGGTAAAGGCGAAGCAGGAGCTCATTGCACTTGCATCTCCAGCTCCTCAGATGATTGACGAAGAGGCAGAGGCAGTGAGAGATCAAACTCTGTCTGATGGCTATTCAGCTTCAGAACCATTGGATGATTCAGATCAAGCTCAACGATATGTTCAAACTGACATTCAAGCATGGGAGGACGTTGGTTTGGAACATGCTGATGAAATGGGAGAGCAACATGCAGATTCCAATCAAGGTGGGGCGACCTCACCACATCTACTTCAATCTCCTGTCACTCCAGCAGATGATGACGTGAGTGGCGATGAAGACATGGAAATTCCCTCTAGCTCTCACAAACATCCAGCCAATGCATCTTTACATGGTGACCGTGCAAAATTTCAGAAGATGGATGATGATCCAGTGGTTGCTCCAAAGAGCAAAGCTGCCAGAACAGATGGTGATGTGCATCAGGTGGCAGAAGTTGAAGTTTGCCACAACGACGAGCCTGAGGTGATGGTTGATGATTGGGAGGACAGTTTGCAATTTCCTGGCTCAGAGGATGAATACATCTCAAATCAAGCTGAAGGAGAAGGACCCCCACAGGTCAGCAGTGAAAAGCTCAGAGAACTTGATGCGCAGGCAGCTCTTGACGAACTGGAGAAGTTGCACAACATGGAGGTTATCCAGCCGGTGGTATTGACAATAGAAGAAGCTGCACAGGAGAACGCTGTGGATACTACCCTGGTATTTGACTCGCATTTTAGAGGCAACAGTTGGATTCGCAGATGTCGTGTCGTTGCTAGGGATTTTCGAACAACCACTGATGAAAACAGTTTTTCTCCAACTTCGGCTTTCTCTGCAGTCAGAATGCTACTAATTACATTTGCAGCTAGTATGGTCTTGCAGTGACCTCTCTCGACATCAAATGCATTCTTGATGGTGCCTCACGTGGAAGTGATGTATGTGGAGATTCCTCAATGGGTGCATGAACGTGCAAGAAAGTCAGAGACACACTGGCTACTTCGAAGGTGCTTGCCAGGACATCGTAATGCAGCGCTCAGATGGCATCAACGCTTTGCAAAGATTTGTGAAGCCGTAGGGCTTAGATCTTTTCCTGGTTCACCGACAGTGTTGCGACATGAAAACCTGATGAGGAAGATCTATGTGAACGTTCATGTGGACGACATTCTTTTGGTGTGCAAGCCAGAAGAAGTGCAGTGGTTTCAAGATGCAGTTGGTTCAACTTTGACAATGAAGGTGGATGGACCTCACCTACCAGCTAGTGGAGAGCAGTTGATGTATTTGAAGAAGAGGATTACAATGCGAGAAGATGGAATCCTCATACAACCAAATGCAACATACGTTCCAAAGTTGGCAGCAATGATGAAAATCAGTGGAAGGAGAAAAAGGGATTGTGCTACGCTGGAAACCTTCAACGCTGAGTTTGCAGTGGAGTCTGAGATGTTGGATGGAGAACAGGCTGGACTGTTCAGGTCTGGTTTGGGTCTGACTTTGTACATGGCGATGGACAGGCCAAACCTTCAGTTTGCAGTGAAAGTCTTATCATCCTACATGTCTCGTCCTAGCATGAAATCACTTTCGGCATTGAAACATTCGGCTTCATATCTTGAAGGAACTCCAGATGATGGTATTCTCCTACGTTCAGCTGAAGAAGGCAAGATGGTCAGTGACCTTTGGAAAGAGGATGACTTCATCCAAGACGAAGTTACAATTCCAGATTGGACGACTGATGGAAGAATCATTTTGGAGGCATTCAGGGATTCCTCATGGGGTGATTGTAAAGCAACTCGAAGGTCTACCAGTTCAGGATTGATCTTTCTCAATGGATCATTACTCACAAGCATTTGCCGAACCCAAGCTTCAGTAGCACTTTCCAGTTGCGAGGCTGAGTTGTATGCTGCCAATGGTTTGATGGCGGAGAGTCTTTTCTTGTATCGCTTGTGCAAGTTTCTTGTTGGAGATGAAAGCGAAGGAAACAGTGACAAGGTACAACAAAGATTGTACATGGACTCAGCATCAGCATTGGCACTTATCTGACGAAACGGAACTGGACGTTTGAAACACATTCAGATCAAGCAATTCTTTCCAAATTTTGCTGCATACTGGTGTGTTTTCCATTTTCAAAGTTCACACAAAGTCGAACCCTGGTGACCTCAACACCAAACGACTTGGAGGTGAACGGAGACGATTTCTTGGAAGATTGATGGGACTTTTCAGTCCAAATGATGCGGAAAGAAATGATGACAACACAGTGAGAAGAATCCGCAGAATCAATCGTGCAACAAGAGAACAATGTGTCCGTTTGATCCAAATGGCCAATTTCACCTCGGGCATGTGTATGGAGTTGAAGGGTTGCAACAGTGAGGTATTTTCCCATCATGGTCCTGCGACAGGCGGAAGCGCAGATGATGGCAAGCTGCAGGTGGTATGGTGGACGCTGGTGGAATGGTTGTCTACTCCAGCGCAATGTGCCTTTGGAGGGTTGATGATGGCCTACCAGGTACTCTCCGTGATGGCGCAGTTCATTGGATTTGCGGTGATGTTTGCTGCAGTTGGTTTTGCTTGCGCTGGACCAATTGTGTGGAGTCACTATGGGTGGCTTCAACAATTTGCTTTACGACATGCGGCATGGCTGATGGAACTGAGGTTTCGAGCATTGGTGAAACCGAGTCTTTGGGTTGCATGGTGGATCTTGAAGAAGGAGATAGCGTATTTGCATGAGCGCTATCGTGACTCTGGGCAGCGTGGTGACTTCATGGTGGACGTTGAGAACGTTTACGGCTGCCTGGATGAGTACTTGACTGGTGGAAGTTCTCCAGTTGGAGCCTGGAGCAGGTGTCTTGGACTCACCAGATCCGAGACAGGATGATGGACCTCCAGAAGCTCCAGAAAAAGAACCTTTCCAAGGAGTTGACCTGGCTGAAGCTGCTTTGAACCATGTCTACCAGCTGAATGGACGAAACATTGACCGCACAGTTGGTGAAACACGAGCAGATGAAGAAGCTGATCGAACCTACAGAAGACATGCAGCACGAGAAGAAGAAGAGATGGACGACTATGATGACAAGATGAATGTGGAAGAAACTCCTGCAGAAAGGAGGGCAAGATACATGTCTTCCAACCAGGAAGAGGTATCTGACCCAGAAGAATGGGCAGAGACCCACTATATGGAAACCTCGATGTGAACAACTACGAGCGTATGGTGGCATTTTCCCGAGCCAACAGACTTCGCTTGGAGAACGCGCTCGAGACTTTGAGGATGAAGCGCAACATAGCGGAAGTGGATGGCAATTGGGAAGAAGCTAGCAACTATGGACGTGCAATGGCAGAGATTGAGAGCCTCATGGACATTGCATAGCAGCTGTGGTGATGCTGGGCAAAGTGGTGGGCAATCATAGCATGAGGCATGCAGGTGCACTACACACTCCAGTTGATCAAAATGCAGGCAGTGAGCGTGGCATAGAAGTTTTCAACAGAGCTGGAACCATTAATTCAGCACAGTGGCTTTGTAAGGGCCAACCCAATAATATATGTGGCACAGCGCCAGAAATTGCTGCAGTGCCAAGGTGGGGCGTGAAACTTGAGTTACTCCACTTGTGCACATGTACAGGCATGTAGGTTTCAGGTAGTTGAAGCGAAACAGAGAAGATTATCATTGCCAGTTGTCTGCATGATGACACGCACAAATTCAGTGTACTCGTTGCCTACAGTGGCTCAGAGACAGCAGGTGGAAAACCGAGGGTTGAGCGACTTGCCAATTTGTTAGAAATTAAAACCAAACATTTCCCCCTTTCCCGACCAGCGAGGGCTCTTTCGATTGCAATGAAAGGAATAGGGAAGAAATAGGGGGACGTACGCAAGGTTGGGAAAACTTCTAGGAGAGAGCCAGGTTGAGTGCCATTTTGTGGGCTGTCCAGGGGAGAAATTATTCTAGGATTTCTAGGGGTATTGGAGATGCCTGGCACCCCTCAAAAACCCAAGTGGGCTGCTACTACAATCACAAGACTATGCCAGAAATTGGCCAAAACAAACATAAACCAGTGAAAACCAAACATTTTTCCTTTCTCACTCATTCCCACCAGGGCCACAACCACCACTAGCCCAGAAACGGGGATAACATCCAAAACCAATGAAACCATGTTCAACCAGTGGGTTGCTGAGAAGGCAAAAATTTGAAGATATATGCTGGCTCTTCTTGATCCTATCTGATTATGTTTAAACTTGTGCCCCAACACTGCAAGGACGGAAACCTTTTTCGGCCGTTTGCCCACAGCTGCGTACGATTGCTTACGTTTTGCTAGGAAAACAACTATAGGGGCATCATTTTGTCAAATATTATTCCAAAATCCCATATATCTCATTGAGTTCTTGGAATAATTTGTCGTTTTGAAGTAAAGTATTGCCAAAATGATATTTTATTATTCTGAGGTATGTTGAGGGGGGTATACCCTTAAGGCATCTCTCATGGAAAAATGCTGCAACCCAAATTCACGCTGCAGACTTTGTGCGAGTCTGCGCAGTCGAAGCGCATGTCAAAATGTCACAAGAGCCACTGTATATGGAAATTTACAGGTAAAATGCCGCAAACCAAAACCGCGCCGCAGACTTTGTGCGAGCCTGCGCGGTCGAAACGCATGTCAAGATTTCACAAGAGCCACTGTATATGGAAATTTACAGGTAAAATGCCGCAGACCAAAACCGCGCCGCAGACTTTGTGCGAGCCTGCGCGGTCGAAACGCATGTCAAGATTTCACAAGAGCCACTTTATGCGGAAATTTACAGGTAAAATTCCTCAGACCAAAATTAGCCCATAACGCGGACACACTTTTTGTGCCAGCCGGCGCAGTCGAAACGCATGTCAAGATCTCACAAGAGCCTTTACGCGAAAACTTACAAGTAAAATGCCGCAGAGCAGAGTGAGCACCCTGATCAAGCACTGGCCTTTACACCTACCGTAAGAACCCCTGTGTGGACACACTGTTTAGGAATCCATGATTTTCATGTTTCAAGTGCAATCCGTCATTGGCTCATCCATTCCTTTTTTCCCATCCTTCGAAGCATCAACGCCAAAGTGCTTTCGGCAACAAGTTCCGTGGACCTGTTGAGCACAAGCGAACATGTGCAACATGTCAACAATGGCAACAAGTTTCGTGGACCCTGTCTTACAATCGTCAAGAACGTTATCAGTCCCCCCTGTTGAGCATAAGTAACATGTGCAAAATGTTAAGAGTGGCAACAAGTTCCGCGGACCCTGTCTTACAGTCGTCAAGAACGTTATCAGCCCCCCCCCCCCCCCCCTTGTTGAGCAAAGCGAGCATGTGCAACATGTCAACAACGGCAGATCAGCCACATGCCAAACAACAACCCTTCCAAGGGCAGCGTACCAGCCGCATGCCATATACTACTATGATAAAGTGATAAAACCGCTGTACTCATTTGACGCAACCATTTGTTCTGCAATGTGCCTCCCAGGCCAGCTGGAAGTATGTGAGGCAAGCAGTCATCACTGGCCTTGTCACTTGGCTTCCGGCAGCTCTGGCGCCAGGTAGTCATGATGGCCTTTGGCCCCTATAGTCATGGTAAATTGAGCCAGCGATTGACGGTAAATTTGGCCATTCCGGATGATTGTGTGACAATTGCCTATTGGTATATTTGGGTTGATGCGTTTGTTAATATATATAATTAGCATTAAATTATATAAGATCATGAGCATCAAGTCATCAAGTTATACCAAGCAAGTTCCCATCATCATTTCGGACGGTGCAACAAACAGCCGGTGTAAGTGCGTCTGGGAAAAGAACGAAGCGAAGTTCATTTCGCCATGCATATTTGGTGCTAAAGAATTCCAGCTGCTGCAAGCGCTAGCCAAAGCAGTGCTCCACATGATAAGCAACGAAAGTGTCGACTATATAATCTCTATTTGTTCTTAGACTTGACAGCAAAACACGGTGAAAAGGAGCCATACTTGTTTGTCATACATGTCGATCTGTCGGAGCTTCGCTGCTTCCGTTCGCGTTCCTCGGAATGCCTATCGTGCTTTGTCTTTGGGCAGCATTGTTCCATTTGCACGCTTCGCTTGGAATGTTTGGTGGTTTTGGATAGTTTTGGCGGAACTTGAGGTGTCCACCCTCGTGAGTGATGCCGTCATCTGGATGCTATCTTACATTCTCAGTGCGGCTATCGAAGAGCGACCAGAATGGACGACCAAAGATAGGATTGCACGACTGAGATGGTCGAGGTGGAGGACCATAGAAACTAAGAGTTTCATGGCCCTTTCAGGACATGTGTTCTTTTAGTGTTTAAACAGAAAATCTTTATAGAATAGAGATGTTTGACTTTACAGCTCGTTTGCTGTCCCTTTGATTTCCGCAATATATCGACAAATGAGTCGCGTCTTCCAACACTCCCACACGGATCCGCAGGATGCGTTGCTTCTTGTGCTTTGCGGCCCCTTGGCATCCTTGGCTGCGCTGTTGTGCTTTTCGACTTCCTGCATCACTGGGGCCGATCGCCAAGGCCTCCTACAATCTCGCCTGCTTGATCTACGTTTACCTCTTCATTGCCAACGCCAGAGAGGCCTGGGATTTTGGTTCTGTGGAGCTCAAAGACTGCCGGGATGAAGGGGATTTCTTCTGGTAGCCGTTTCAACCTGTACATGTGTCCCAATGTTCATGGAAATCAGCATCTCAGCATCTCCCCACAGGCCGCGGTCCACCGTGCAGAATCCTTCTAGCCTTGAGATCTATTATGGAGAGATTCATTTACAAAGATCAAGACCTTCAAGAGTCAACTCAGCGGGTTGAGCCTTTGAGATTCTTTTTTCAGCGGCCTGAGGTGGATTCTACGCAATTGATACTGGCAATCCTCTGGGGGCTGCTTCAGGACACAGTTGGACACATGGAGACGTGTATATGGATTTAGTGATCAATTGGTTTGGGAGTCATATCTGGTGATGAAAGATTCTTTATAAACGTATGTAGATGATTGGCTTATTCAGAAATTGCGGGGTTCCAACAGAGAGTATGTGAAAACATATTCAGGCTCTCGCTGAAGAGCATTGAGGAAAGTCAAGACAGACATCTGGAATTCTTCGACCGCGTCACAGTATGTACAATAGAAGCAACTCATCCTGCCAGGTGCCTATGTTTTCGATCACCTGGACAGGTGTGACAACACAACATGAAGAGATTCTTCTCCTCCCCCACCCTCAACCCAAAATAGTACAAGCTCAATGTTTTGCTTTTGATTGGCAGCAAAAGTTCGAGATAGCCAGAGCCACGAGATCATCGACTGGGTGCAAGCAAGTGAGATTTGTTTCAAGTGAACAGTGAATTCAGTTGTATTCCAACAACTGCAGAAGTCCTCAATAGCCGGTGTCTTTTTTTTTTGTTCCGGCCGATGCCGAAGATCCTGGCTGGATCACATGGCACATGGCTCGCAGGATGGCCTCGGGACGCCGTTGGTGATGGCCACAATCCTGGCGATCGCGTTAAATCTGGTGCTATGCTTTTTTCCGGAAGTCAGAGGGTGCCAGTGGGGAGGGCAATGCATGTGGTCCAACCATTGGCTTGATTGCAGCTCTGATTCTGAAGCTTAGCCTCATGATAGCAGGTGACCCAATACTACTTGGATTCCAGAAGTGCATTATAAATATTTATAAATTATAATTCAAGTGTAATCTGGTCTTTGTTGCTGCCTTAACTTTGAAGCGCACCAGCAAGTCATATTCCGGAGGATAGTGGAGGCCACAAAGTGAAATCTACTGAATCTACCGTGTAAACACCACACGTAGCTAGTTGACACATGTGATTGCAGTAGCCTGAAAGGACAGAATTTGAATGTCTTGTGCCAGTGACAAAGTGTACGCCCTTGTGGCATTGGCCCCGTGGCAGGGAAGTTGAAAATCGGTGGCTGGCACCGGCACCTACAGAGGACCGGTCCAGTGCCCGAGATTTTGGGACTGCAACCGAGAACCCGAAGATTTTGCAGCTTAAATTGCAAATACAAACAAAAACAAACAAAAACAAACAAAAACAAACAAACAAACAAGCAAACAAGCAAACAAGCAAACAAGCAAACAAGCAAACAAGCAAACAAGCAAACAAGCAAACAAGCAAACAAGCAAACAAGCAAACCAGCAAAGCAGCAAACAAGCAAACAAACAAACGAACGAACGAACGAACGAACGAACAAACAAACAATCACACACACACACACGCACTAGACAAGAAATGGATCATTGAAGTGATCCGTTGGGAACTGAATCCCCTCACATGCAATTAGATTAGAAACAATGACCTAAGGTAGATCTCCTCGAAGAAGTATCTGAATAATGGGAAGATATTCCGATAAAGACAATCACGGCCAGAATCCGGTTCAAGTAGACCCCAAAATTGAATACCATCGGTACAAAAGATCACGATCAGATTCACGAAGAAAATTCCCCATGAACAGATTGTGGAAACCGTGCGAAGCAGTTGTAAAAATCTTCAGTCCGGTTATTGGCTTAGCCGGTCGCCATACACAAGCAGTGAAGGGCTAGCGCAAGGGCTTGGAGTTGATCAATTGACATCTGCTGGGTCAATGCTGCTGCCGCGGATGTGGGCGAGGGACTGGTAGATTTTTGGCTAAAGAGTTGTGCTTGAAGTTGAGCCGCCAACGTTGCAATGGTAGGTGTCGATGGTGTCGATGGTGTCGATGGTGTCGATGGTGGTGGTGACGGTGTTGTTGTTGTTGTTGTTGTTGTTGTTGTTGTTGTTGTTGTTGTTGTTGAAGTTGAAGGGTGGTGCAGTGTGTAGTTGATGTGGCCCGGATGGTGAGGGTTTTCAAAATGATTGTGAGGGGATGTCAAAGAACGCTTGCCAGTAGTCTGCCGTGTGGCGTGCGTAGGCCTCATCTCCGGTCAAGAGGTAAAAATATTGTTCAGGGGGCCGAAGACGGGAGTAGCCCTTGGAGTTGATCTCGTTAATCCAAAGTTCCTTGCGTGCGTCATTGTAGTCGTAGATCTTGAAGAAGACCTGGTGCACAAATGTGCACAATACGTTCCGTGGAGAATTCATTGTATTGGTGAGGATCAGGAGTCCGAAGCGCATCAGTAGTTTCGGAATTCGGTTGGAGGAAATGGAGCTGGTGATGTATCCGGAACTTCAGGGGCATAACTGGGGCCTCCCGCTGGTGTCATCGTCGAAGATGTCGAAGAAGTGGGAGGTGTAATTGGGCGACTAGACGACAAAGTCTGTCTTGGGTTGCCGATGGGCCACGGTAGGTTTGCATATGAACGCGTCGCGCTTCGTGCCTGCCATAACAGAGAATAAATAGGAAATGTCTGTGGGAGGTCATGCACGAAATAACCCATCTGATTAATAAGAACTAACGGGGACTCAAGACCAAATGATAATACCAAATGTTCGTTGAGCGTGGTTCTTGGCTTAGCCCCAAGCCATGTCAACAAATCACCTGTTTTGGATTGTTTTGGTCGGAAGAAGGCGTCGCACTAACTAGATAGTGGTCAACAGCAATCTAGCCTAGGGCAAAATCAAACCTGGGCGGCATTTGTGACACGAAAGACGTAGTAAGAAGGAATGACTAGTACCAGGAACCAACGGGGCACTGGTCAAAAAGTCGGACTGCTGTGTGCGTCACTCAGGTCTGTAGAGGTCTAACAGCCCGACAATTGTGGTATCTTTGGAGACTTGGAAAGCGTCCTTGTCAAGATCATGATAACGTAGTTCAATGTCCCCAGGGCCAACCATAGACGGTTGCAGATCCCGAAGCGCAGGTTGCCAACGGACATAGCGTGGGCGACTTCAGCCGAATAATTATATATTGTTGTGCCCATGTGAAGAGGGCCTCCGTTTCTCCCTACGTAGCATTTCGAAAATTGCCTGAACGGATGGCTTGGAAGTCCAAGGCATTCTCTTACTTCACGATTGTGCGCAAAGTCCTGAAGTCCCGTGTACTCCACAATGGCAAGCACGGGGCGGTCTGGTGTTGGGGTTGCCGCAGTGTTGGTTCTGCCCGGGCCAGCAAACCATGGAGCTTGAGCTGTGTTCAATGTAGAAGATCTTGCTAGATACGGTTGGTAACGTCGATCTTGAGGCATCAGCAATAGATCGTCTAGAGTTCGAACCACAAGGAATGCTGCTCGAAGCCATTGTCAGCAACGTGATGGGAAACGAAAAGCGAAAAAACGTGGAACAAATAAAGCCTGCTGATACAGAAAGACCGGAAAGAATGAGAAGGAAAGTCATCACATGTATCATGTCACAAGCAATCGGGATGAAGTGAGAGTTCCTATTTCATTTGCCGCAACCATTGGGGTTCATAAGCTCGTGTCAGACATATCCGTATTGCTACTCAAATTAAGGATGACGGTTGGACTATCGGAGTCATCGGTGATTGCAGTACCTGCGATGTTGGAGAGGTCGAGGTCCACGTAGTTCGCCGCGTTGGTGATGTAGGAGGTGTTGAACGTGTGGGCGGCCAAGTTAGCGAAGAAGGATCACCTTGAGAATGTCGTGGTGCAGAACGGCCCCAACACGCTTGTACCCTATTGTCGGTTTGAACTTGTGCTACTTATGCACACTTACAGATACTTATGCTAGTTATGTTACTGTTAACTGTTAACTTATACCCTACTTATGTTGTAATTTAGAAAACTAATACTAAACTTAAGTATTTTTAAGTTGTTCACAAGTTACTTACAAGTATACATAATTAGATACAAGGAGAAATAAGTAGAACATAGTTGAAACCTTTTGTTTGTGCAAAAAGTGAGAAGGAAATCCGAACTTAGGTTTGGAGAGGTTAAATTTTAGTTTTCGAGAGCTTTTTGGTATATTTTTTGTGAAACAGCATGGGCGTGCTGAATAAGCAGAAAAACTTGTTTTGGAGTTTGCCGCGCTCGACGCTCAAGAAGAAAATGAGTTTTTTTTATCGATGCCTTCGAGCGGTCACACCGCTCTTGGATTAGAGACAGACATGGACAGATATAATATGTTTTCCTAGTTATTTTATATATAATATATGTTTATCTTGATAGCGGTCACACCGCTTCCTATATATTTCATTGAGCGGGCACACCGCTAACATGAATTCATTGTTTTGATAAATGATAAATATTGTTCTTTTATATGTTGAAACGCAAATACATGAGATAGCAAAACCATTCCCGCGCATGGTTTCTTTTACAAAGGCCCACTGCATGTGTACAATTAGGACAAGAGCGTGAGAAGATCGTCAGTCACCACGGACACCTGCCAAACGAGACTGGGGTGCATGTCCTTCAGGGTGGGCAGCATCTTCTGCATCAGTCTGTGTAAAGGCCACAGATTTGAGAGAAATATTCAAGAGATATCAGAGAGATAGCACAGAGATAGCACAGAGATAGCACAGAGATAGCATGAGATAGCATAGATAGCACAGAGATAGCACAGAGATAGCATGAGATAGCAAAGATAGCACAGAGATAGCCACACACCAGCCAGGGCAGAGATAGAGTTTAAAAAAACGCACAGAAAAGAAAGAGCAGAGCTCACCAAGTTCTGGAGCAAGAGACAGAAAGCAAGAGGAAACATGAGGCCGAGAGACATGCGAAGCAGACAACAAGAACGGACATATAGCAATGCAACAAGCGGACAGACCGCTCTATTTTCTTTGAAATGCAAAAATATACAGATAGAGAGATTGAAAGAAAGAAAGAAAGAAAGGAAGAAAGAAAGAAAGAAAGAAAGAAAGAAAAAAAGAAAGAAAGAAAGAAAGAAAGAAAGAAAGAAAGAAAGATAGATAAATAGATAGATAGATATTTCTATACTTATACATGCGCCGGGAGAAATGCGATTTGCAGCATCTGCGTGTAATGCTCCAACGGCATCCTTCAAAAACAAAAAAGCGGACACACCGCTCAACCATGCAAACATTTCGTAAACATTGACACATAACCAACGAAAAACTTGACTTTCCATCCAAAAGACGCGCTCAATCAAAATCTAAGAGAACAAAGCCAAACTTCATACCGTTTGGAAACACTTAAAAAAATAAAAACATAACTAGGTTAAGTAGAAATAAGTAGAACAGAAGTAGAACTAACTTAGAACAACTAACTTAGACAACTTAAGCACCAACAGCTTCCACCTACTTAATTCCTACTTCACAAGTAGGTGAATTAGATGCAAATTACTTCAAGTAACTTCAAGTAACTACAAGTAGGCTCTTAAAATAAGTTACTTACTGCCTACTGGGCATCTACTTACCTTACTGAAACTCATGTTAAACCTTATTTACAACTTGATGCAAGTAGCACAAGTTCAAACCGACCATAAGGTAGGATCGAAGTATGATTGGGAATAACGGAAACCCGTTGGCCAAAGGAAATGTTAGAATGTTCAGGATGTGGTAGGACCGGATCCACGGTTTGAGAGGTGTCCGTGCTGGAAATAGGAGGGACATCATAATGGCGTCGCCATTGGTTTGCCACTGGCCGTAAAGTGCGCGGTTCTGTGGTTAAGTGGAGGGTGCCCAGGAAGGGTTCCATGGGGCGCCAGGTTTCGTGCCCATCCGAACTGAGTTCCACGATCCAAAGTTCATCAGCACGGAACGATAATGGGTGAGTATAACCTTCTTGACAAAGATAGTGTGAACGGTCTGAGCATTTGGGACAGCACGAGCAGTTCTTGGAAGGTAATGATAACGACGTAGGGTCTTAATAAACTGATGGATGTAGGTGATGAGGATCGTGCCGCCAGGAAATTGTCCAAGGTAAGTCGAGCCATGGGTGTCGGGAGGTCGTGAGCATCTGGGCATAGTGGTACAAGGTGCGCCCCCCAAGTTAACTTGAACTTAAGGAACTTATAAGTGAAGTTACCGAAGTTATTTTGAAGTTGACATAACTTAAGTTATGGGTTTATGAGTAAGTTATAACTAATTTATATCTCGCGTAAGTTTTTACTATGCGGAAATGTGTTATATTCATATAGAATGGTGTTGAAATCATTGTTGTGTTTGTTTTCAGGGAAAAGTTTGAGTAAAAGGTATAAGCCCATTTCTTCTTTTTTTGGTGTCTGAGTGCGCGAATGCTCGTTTTGAGCATGTAGGTAGCACGAATTTGTTTTCGCGAAGGTCTACGTTCCATATTGAATTTGTACTTGCCGGCCAAAAGGCTGTGCTCACGCCAAGCAGTGCACAACTGAATTAGTTGTTTCTTGTCGCCACCAGCTGCACGTCTTTGGATTTTCAAGACTGTTCCATTTCTTCATCACCTTGTCATTGGTGATCCGGAACGTCTG